GTTAAGTTCATCCTGCCCAGATTGTCAGTTTACCAGCCCATGACCAAAATCTTTGCTTCACCAGAGCGAAGGGTCAGAGCGGGCACCCACTTGACCCCACGTGGCCACGAGCGTACGGGATCAAAGTACAGGGTGATGAAGTACAGGCTGTACTTGGAGAAGCCAGACGGAGAATTCCAGAGATACTGCTGTACTAGCGATTCCCGGGCACATGAGATCTGGCAGAGCACTCCCCACCAAGAGGGGCACAGTGACACAGAAGGAGCTGCACAATGCAGCGGGGATACACTGCCAAGGCTTTCATGTCCACGAGCCTATTTCACGTTGCGAAAGGGGAGTAAGGCCAACCCATTTGTTTGCTTCTGCCAGGGCAATCAGTGGTTTAAAAGCCAGCCAAAAGAAAAAAAACCTGCATGCAAATCGGTGAACAACGTCAGTCCACGGCTGTTAGCTCAGCTGTCTGTTCAGAGACTTGACCAGCAAAATAACAACCCTTCACCCCTCCCTCCTGCAATGAAATTCTTGCCCTCCATCTCCTGTGCACCATTGCCAAGGCTGAGTATTCACGGCAGGGTCAAACAGCTTCTGTGACCCACAGTTTAATTGTTTTGACAGACTCATTACTCTCAACATTGCCTTCTCCAGCCTTCAATAGTCACAACTTGTTCAGAATGTTAAAAAAAAAGAAGTTCTGGAAGGTTTCTCTACCCTCTCCTTACAAGTTTTAAAAGGCTTTACACTACTGTAACCTGCAGACAAGACCAAAGCCTCAGCAGGTAAAAATGCCGCGCTTAAAGGAGTGTGCTCTCACCTGCAGGCTGCTGAAAGCTTCCGGCAAGATAGAGGACAGGGCATCGCAGGCGCTCGTCTGAAGAGTCGCGTGTGGCGAGCTCTGAAGAATGCCAGGTAAAGGGCCGTTTAACACCATCGTCCAGAAAGTGACAACCTGCAGGAGAAGCAGCCAGGTTTACACCCGAGTTCTACAACAGACTGCCTTTTCCTAGGACCATCTTTAACACACACTTACAGCAGGCAGCGTCATCATGCGTGAAAGCGATTACCACTGTTTGGAAGCCCAAAGTACTGAGCATTCAGAAACATTTTAAAGGTATTTTAGTGCCGCTATCAAGTACTTAGTCACTAAGTTCTGTTTGTTTCCTTCTCACGGCCACATACACTCAGATTAGATTGCACCAAGTAGAATTACGATTCCACTCTTGAATCCACACAGCTGGGTATTTTCATTTGCCTAAGAATTTACATTCATATCAAGTAACAGGAACTTGGTGCTGCTGGAGACGTTTCCCATCCTGCAGGGTCACTGGTGACCGGCTCGAAACTTAGCATATGCCAAAGACACTTTTAAACTCACCTTCTGTTCACAGAAGCAAAAAACTTAAACAGACCTACGTTACTGCTAGACTGCCAGTTGCTCAGCTTCTGCAAACTCATCCAACAGCCAGCCTCAAACCATGGGTTTTCCTGAAATCCCACGTATTATGGTTCTGGCCACTCTCTCTGCACTCGTGAGCAGCCAGAACAGGCAGGCTGGCTCTTGTAACCACACAAATTCACCAAAACTCTAAAAGCGTCTGTCTAGGTGTCATGCAGCGGTAATGACACGTGCAAAATCGGCGCTGCTCTTCCAGCTTTGGAAGCAGGCAGGAAGGGGAGGGGTGAGCAAAGGCAGAGAGGCAGGGTTAACAGCATGTAAGAGAAAACCAACGAAAAAAACCAACACACCTGCCTGCAGACAAAACCAAACACCAAAATAACGCAGGAAGTCCACAAAACCCGTACACATCAGCACCTACAAAGCTGCAGGGTACGGATTCCCTTTCTGCTTCCCTGCACTGGGTTTATCTGTATCCATGCCAGTGACTGCAGAGCTCAAGAAGAGCAGCTCAACGAAGAGGAATCTGCGAGGGAGCCCACACACTCACCACACTGACAGGTACCCTCTGATCAGGGGCAACAGCCGAGTCAGGTTTGTACTGCTGTAGCACACCGGTGCCCAGCTCCTCCAGAAGCTGCAAGGAAACAAAAAGCAACTAGGGTCTTCACCAGGGATGACTCAAGTACCACAGAACTACAGCAACCTTTACCCAGGACTACACTTACTTACCCAGGGGACCAAAAATAAAAGATTCAGTATTGCCTTGGACTCTATTCCATCCCTGCTAGTGAAGAAATTAGAGGAAAAGCCTTTCTTACATGAAGTTTCCAGCTAGAACAGCATAACAAATTGCTGTGCAGAGAGGAAATCTTTCCTTTGGGTGCCAGGCTACAGTTCCTGCACCAGCTGATGCTGTCAGGGAAGGGACAGCGTTATCAGAGTCCTTGCATTTCCCAAGCTTCCCCGTGACTCAGCAGATCAACCAAATTCTGCTCAGAATTCAAGATTGGAAGCAGAAGGTGCCTTTCTCCAAGTGTCAGGGTACTGCCCTTCCCAAAGAGCTGCAGCAGGCACCAGCTCTTTATGGTGTGCTACACCACACGCACACAGATGCTCTGACGCCCCTCAGGACTCATCTGTATTTGCAAAGCACACCGATAGATAAAATTGACTCAGTAAAACAACGCTGATGTTTCCTCATGCTCTTACTTTGGCACCATGAAGCTGAACGGACGGATCCATTTCTTCCATGCACCTGCAAGCCACTTCTCCAAGTTCTAGGAAATAGCTCTGAGCCATGGAGAAATAGCCTTTTACAAGGAGAGCCAACACCTAAACACAAACAAAAGAAATCCCATTCAGTGTTTTGTTCTTCTATTAAACCAAAATACCCCAGATACACACACAGAGGATGTTAATGGGCCGATCAACACTGGGACCATATACTCAACTCTGAGGTAACAGATACACCTTGCAGCACAACTTCTAGAATACTAGAGCTAATTAAAAACCTCCCTGTTCCATTATCTTGTTCAAAGAAGGGCCACAAAAGCACTATCGGGTAGCAACAGAATGAATTATTTACTGTAAGTGAGGTCTCCTGTAGCTAAAAAACTAGGCAAGAGCGCCTGTAAGAGCAACACATTCTCCATCTCCTGTAACACTGCTGCTGCGCTCTGTGAAGCTGGATTTAACGAATATTTGTTGTTCCAGAAAAAGAGTGAGAGTCCTTGGGACGCAAGTTACAAAAACCTCACGATTTTCTGTGGTTACACGAAGAAAAACAAGGCCAAGTCTCACCACTCCCAGGTACTCCTTTAGTCACTCCGTAGTTCCTAGCAGACTGTTCTTTGACTGGTTTTTCCCCCACTGTTTTCTAGGAACACTTTAATTTACATTCTGTATGGAGGAGTTTGCGTGGGGAAGACTTAAAGCCTTCACCAGATGCCAGCACACACGACCAAAACCCACTTAAAACCAGTGAAGGGAATAAAAATCCCAGTCAGGTGAACTTGCTGCAGCAGGTTTACTATGGGACGGTTGGTTTTGCCGTGGCCACAGGCACGGAATCAAACGGTCACTGCTCTCCCAGTCACAGCAGCTCAGACACGCTGCGCTAGCAAACGCTTTAGATCTCACGGAAAGGGCGAGGGGCGAAGGCAACCCACGACCGAGGCAACGTGACATTGTACCAAGCCGCTCGTCCCCACCTGCAGGGACTCCAGCCGCAGGGGACACGGTTCATACACGCTGGACAAGGACGGGAAGTTCGCGTCGCTGTCGGAACAGGAATCCTCTCTGGGCAGAACGATGATGGAAACGCAGAGACGGAGAAGCCAACACGGCTCTGAAGACGTCCATCCCGCCGGAGGATCTGGCGGCTGCCCTTCTGAGGGGAGGGCTTTCCTCCACTGCTCAGAGGAGTTCAAACGGTGAGGGCTTGCGCTACCACTGTTATTTAGCCCTGAAGAACTGGGCTGCTGCAAAAGTAACTGCACCTCTGGTAAAGGTGCTTGGACAGATACTATAGCCCCTAACAACGTGAGGCTAGACACTCGAACATTAACATCTGCAAGAAAGAAGAGGGCAGGGGAAGAAAAAGCCAGTCCGTTAGCATCTCGCTGACCCGCCAGCACCCTTCTTCAGCAGTTTTCAGACACGGCAGATCGTAACGTTTAATTTGACAGAAATACGTATGTTTATGTATTTAGGAAGCACAGGGCAGGGGGGGAAATCCACAACTATTTTGTAATAACCAATGTTGAATTAAGATACAACATAGACAAAGAGGCTCCAGCCAAACAGAGTGCAAACCTTTGTGACAAATGTATGGCTTGATCTGGTTCCAAACTCTTGTCAGCAACCCAGGTTTTAAACGGCTGTATGGTGCATTTGAAACCAAGTTTGCAAGGCACTGCAACACACAAGAGAACACACATGGAGCGGTGGTTACAGTGTCAGCCTGGCCTCCAACAGACTCGGTTTTACATTCCCAATTCAGGTCATTTAGACTGCTAATTACTCGAGGGCACCTGGAAACGACCGCCCCAATTATCTGCCGTTGGAAAACTGGTTACAAACTGCTCCCAAGAACAAGTATTTAACTACTGTGACCCACCATAAAGGAATTTCAATAGCCCATGGAAAGCTTTCTTTGCCAATTTGGATTCCAGTTTTAAAGCCAATGTGAATCTTCAGCATCATTTCATGGGTTTGTTCAGCTCCAAAAGGACTTCACGAATGAAATACAGGGACAAGAGAATTGTGCTGAAGAGAAAAGGAAACCTAGGGCTCTGCAGGAAGACTCAGTCAACGCAGCCTTGTGAGACAGCAACAGTCTATTTCCCACCACCACCCTAGTCCTCAACAGCTACAATAATTTCTGTGCAATCTGTCTTAGAGAGCTCGTCTAGAGACCAACACCATCTCTTGGGCAGCATCTGAAACATTTACAGCAGTTACCTTGACTATTTGTGTCAGTGTTTGAGAAGAGGACTCTGCCACCAGGGCCAGCAGCAGGCAGCGGTGCAGCTCCCGGATGCTAGAAGCAATAGTTACAGAGAAGGGGGTAAAAGCTCTCTTGTGATCAGTAGCGTCTTCAGCAACGGAAAGAAACTTCTTCGAACCTTCCAGGATGGCCGAGAGAACTTGAAGAGCACAGGTACGGGTCTGAAATGACAAAACACTTCTCTTAGCCACTTTTAACATCTCCTTCGAGCTGATGGAGAATTTTAAAATTTAAGAAAGTCTCTTTCTCCAGCAAGGGAAAATTCAGCTCCAACTCGCTTTCCTCATAACTTTAAGCAGCACACAACCAATCCTTTGCTTCCTTAACCAGCCCATCCTCTTTCATTTCTCGTGGTACAGTGACCAAGCAAGGCAGGTGGCATAGCCAAAGTACTTACTGAAGGCCAGAGAAGACAACTCTTAGGATTAACATAGGAAAATACAATGTTTTTTCTACTCAGAACTGCCTCACCTTTGGAGACGGGTCCTTTAAAGCAATAGTCATCAAGGACACTGACTGGGGGCTGCCGATACCGGGTGCATCAGGAACAAACGCTGACCAGTAGCCATAAAGAACTCTCTTTTCTATCGATTTCACAGCAGAGAGGAAGCAGGCTAGAGCCCCTTGACGAACATTGGCTTGATAAGATCTTAAAGGCAAACAAAAAGATTAATGAAATAGCAGCACTGAAAAGTAATGGACTTAATCTCTTTCACGTACATTAGTGGCTAGCTGTGAGAAGGAATTTTTTAGGAGGACAGGAAGAGGAAGAACAAATTTACTCTCAAACCAACACCAATTACTGACTTCCAGTTTTCTTGTATCGCCACATCAAAAGGGAAAGTGATTTCCTCAACAGTTTTGATTAAGAACAAGGCACGAGGACCCTGTGGAAGCGTAAGAGTCTGCACACGTGTAAAACTGGCGCTAGACCCACAGGAACGAAGGGCATGCTGCAGCACGACAGGCGAGCTGAAACGGTGCTGAACAACAGCACGCCTGCTGCCGCGCTTCGTGTTTACAGGAACAGCAATCACCTCACTTTGCTCTGTATTCCACCTTCAGCATCAGAATATTCCGACTCACTGCTGCTGATCCTTTTCCAGCCAGCACAAAGCGAAGACCAGGGATCCTTCCCGGCGGGCACGCGTGCAGCATCCGACCCTCGGGTCTGCGGGTCCGAACAAGGACTGGTCTGCACATCCCCCAGCTGTAATTTTGCCATCTCTGCCCCAAGGATCGATTCATTTCCTGCATCACCCAAATCTTCTCTTCCTTCTTCCCCAAACTCTGCCTTCCTTTGTTTCCCTTTGAACTTTTTTCTTCGGTTCTGTTTTAAGATAAAAAAATATTTTTTTTAATCGTCTGAAATAGTCTCTAGAAAGATGAGCAAATATTTTATAGTTGCAAAGCTTTTACTAAGGGAAAAAGGTCTCATCTGAAAGCAAAACTAATTGCTAATCCACAATAAAAGCAGAGTTTAACATAACAAGCCATGCCCTCTGTACAGTGCATCAACATCAAATTATACACGTTTCCCAAGGAGATTTTAGTTGAGATTTCGTTTAACCAAGAGTTTCACAGCCTTCAGCATTAGTCTGAGGCAATGATACTGCACATAAGTGCGATTATTTGTACGTGCAATGCTGTACATATGGAAACAAGCACGCCTTTAGCGTCTGAGAGTTGGCAAATTCTGCTCATATGTAGCAACAGTGACACCAGTGCCATAATACCTTAGCGTAAGCAAGCAGTTTATATCTGAATAACCTCAAAAATTAAGCTTTGGCCTCTTCATTAGCAAGGCAAAAGGTGTCCAACAAAACATTAAAAATCATACTTCACACAACAGCAACTAAAGAACAGCAGTTCTTTTAGATTTACAGTAGGTATTTAACACCTAAAAAGAAACAAGTCAACATGACTACATCAATTTATTTTCTCTAATGTCTTTCAGATAATCGGTAACCCAAAATGTTTGCAGGGTTAAAAAATAACCTGTAGAAGGACTAAGCAGGACAGGCGGGCGAGGGGGGAGGAAATCAGACTGCGGATGGACTTGACTTCCCTAAGAAAGAGCCACAGTTGCGCAAGTGTTAGGAGAGAAAATGTAACCTACAAAATCAAACGCTTTGGCTAGTCTGCACACACCAGTCCCACGCCTGCCGGCCACGAATTCTTGGCTATAGAGGAGGAACGGATGCACGCAGCTTAGCTCAGAAAAACCCACCTCTGCAGAGCCGTTTGTTCTCCTCATCCCAGTTTACAAAGCAGTTTTACTCAGTGCAGAGATTTATACTCGATACCTTCAAAGCCAAGAAGGTGAAACGCACCACAGGCTGCGAGCACAAGCAGCCTGTCAGCCACTAACACCGCGCCAGGCGACGCACAACCGTGACAACCACGCACAGGATGAACCGCAGGCGCGCCGCAGGACCAGCACACCTTCAGCTTACCCCCGTCTGCTTCAGGGCGGCCGGTTCCGACGGCTCCTGTCGGACGGGCGAGCGTTCATCGTACTGCGGCAGCGGAGCCGGGTACAAGGCCGCGGGCATTTCTAGGCTCAGGCCTGGCAGTCCGTGAAACATACATTTCTACAACAGCAACGAACACGTGAGCATTCTGCCCCTTTCTGACGCACGAAGGTTTACGGTGTATTTACTCAGGTGTTCACCCATTTCCAGTCGGGCTTGTGACCTTCCAGGGTCTGCCTTTGTCTCCAGGGGGATTTTTAAGTACTTACCTTTAAGGCTGCAAGAAGAGATCCAATTTGGTCAGTCTGCATGAGTTTCATCTTCCCACCGTTGAGAAGCGACTGGATACCTTTCAGTGCATTTTGCAGTAGCTGAAAACCAAAACACAGAATTACTTACTTCTCCTGCCCAAACCACGGAAGGTTTACATCTTTCAAGTGATCTTCCAGGCAATTACGGTTTTGCTCAACAGAATTACTAGGACAGTTACTTAAGCGTGTTTATTTAAAAAAAAAAAATTGGACTAAAAAATTAGGCAAATTATATCACAAAAGTAGGCAAAATCTCTACTGACAATATTCCAAATTTCATATATTCCAGCAGCACAATCCCCTAATTAGTCCAGTATTCCACACAATTAGACTCCCACTGACCATGCAAAAAGTGATGTCGTCTACATCAGCGGTTTTTGAAGACTGCAGAACACTCAGGAAAGTTTGAAAACAGACACTTCGGTAGGACTCATCCAAGTACGGCTGCCCGGGCACGCTAAAATTGAAGCGGGAGACGACAAATGGCTGGTTTACAGACTGCCAATGGATCACACAAACTCAGATCCAAGCCCTCTGCCAGGCTGAGGAGCACAGCCCCAGCCGGGCAGGTGGCACTTCGAAAGGGATCAGCTCCACCACCGTGAAGACCCAAAGGAAACCTTCTGCACCAAGAGCTCCCGTCAGAGAGTGCCTTACACTTTCTGTGCCCACCTTCTCCATCACAATGACCCTCCAAGCACAGCTAAACAAGCTGTCACGCTCATAAATGGTTTTTTTTAGGCAAAATTTGGCATTGAAAAGGGCCTAGAATGACTTTTGCCATTTCCCTAGTTTCGATGACGTCCGGGCAACCTTCATGTGCTGAAACATTTCAATATCCACTTGACTTAGCGCACAGAGAGAGGGCACTGCATCACCTCATCTCTGCTACCCTGAGTGCCGTTTAGTAAGAGCTGGCCGTTGTTGCCATGGATTTAGAGTCATTAAGCAAATTCTTTTGTAACGGATTCCCAAGCACCTGGTTCCAGCACATTTAATTACTTCAAGCCATCAACCCATGTTTGATAATACCCACAGGAAAACTAATAACGCAAGTGATTTTCCTAAAGTTAGAACTGGAGCACAGCCGAGGTTGGAAGGGACCTCTGGAGAGCATCTAGTCCAAGCCCTTGCCTGAAGGAGAGTCACCCAGAGCAGGCTGCCCATGACTCTGTCCTGTCAGGTTTTGACTGTCTCCAAGGACGGAGACTCCATGGCCTCTCTGGGCAACCAGTTCCAGTGTTTGACAATCCTTACTTTTTTCTTTTTTTTCTTATGTTTAATCAGAATTTCCTGTATTTCCGTTTGTGCCCATTGCCTCTTGTCCTTTCACTGGGCACCACTGGGACCCGTCTGGCTCTGTTTTTTTCATTCCCTGTCCTCATGTATTTATACACGGGAAGAGCCTCGCTGAGCCTTCTCTTCTCCAGGCTAAACAATCCCAACTCTCCACACAGAAAAATCATCATGCCCCAAACTGCCAGGGGTTGAATTTATTTGCACTAATTAGTTCTTCAGACTTCATCTAGAAGTGCTGAAATTTCAAGCTTTTGTGTTTGTTTGGGTTTGTTTTGTTTGTTTGTTTTATAAAAAAAAAAAACAAGCCATCTGTTCAGGGGAACTACCAACCGAAAAAACTCTTTACAGCAAGTCCAAATATCTATTGCTTTTATCAAGTGCCTGCTTGCCCACAGTCTGGTTAGTCAAAATTCTTCCCACACAGCAGCTAATGAAGATTTGATGTTGCTGTGGCACCAGCATATTTACATGTGGAATGGAAAAATGGATGAACTGCAAAAGACTAACAGACAATCACTGTAAAGGCTTGTAGCTGACCATTTCTTACACAAAATTAACCCAAAGAATGGCCACAGCCACCAGACAGCAAGCGTTCTTTCTGTTCTTCCCTAAACTAACCTCTGCAACGTTATTTCTGGAAGACTGAGAGTTTATGGTTTTATACAGATGATTCATCACCTTGGAGCACTAAAGTTTTACATTTCAAATTCACGCATGTACACCGTACTGGTCCCGAATTTGCTGTTCTAGCACAAACAGAGCAGAGCAGCGCTGTCAGATGTGCATCTTCTAAAGCATCCACTCCACCCTCCGGAAAGGCTCGTACGCACCCGAGACAGAGGTTTGCCATGCTGTGTACTGCTGCCCTCCTGAGTTCCACGTCTGGCTGAGAAGAATCACTGAACTGCACCAAGAGCCCAGTCTGGCCCAGCAAATCCGGGAGGTACTAAAACAAACCACCAAAAGGCATTAGGGGTCAGTGCTCGTCCCTCAGCTTCCTGGTTCTTCTGTTGGGCAGCTAAACGTTTCTATGCTACAAAAAGAGATTTGCCAGGTGCCACAGACAGATCACGTTTATAAAAAAATTACAGGAAAATCTTAATGTCCAAAGTTCTCTTATTTTGCATTAAAAAAGGTATCAATCATGAGCATAGTTCAGACTGGGTCCCAAGTCCATGCTTTCTTCCCAGACACAAAGTTAGCACCAAACTGCTGTGGTTACACAGGCTACAAACCCACGCAAGCTGGCAGCTCCCAAACCGTCAGCATCAGCACGCCGCGCTGCAGCCCGACAGCAGACCCTGCTCTGCAAGCTGCCAAGAGCTGGTGACAGCAGGAGAATCCAACGCACCAAACACCACCAGTCACGCTGCAGCAACGGGGAGCTTCGTGCAGACTTCAGGACTGGTACCTGAGAGCCTCCGCTTTGAAACGGCTTTGAGCCCACCGCACGCTCTAGATCTGGTTACAGGATAAATTCCAGGACCCTCAGCGGAGCCTGCTGAGTAACGTGCGATCTGAAGCTCCCCGTGTTCTTCCTGCCCGACACACGGACACACCAGGGCGGTCTGTCCGCAGACTGAGTCTGGTGCCCTTCTTTAATAGCGTGCCTTGGGCTCAAGCCAGGTAACGAGTGGTGCCTACAGCTACAGCCTGCAGGGAGAGAGGTGTTCGCCACGGCAAGAATCTGGTTTTCTCTTGATTATTAGTATAAGCACCTATGACACCTGAAATTCAGCTTTTCCATAACTATCAGTCACTACTTCAATGGGATCTAATCTTAGTGTGAAAGGTACGGCAATTTGAGAGTGTGATTCCCCCTCCCACCCCGAAAGAAAGAATAAAAAAGTAGTAGAAACAGCAAAAAGGGAGCAAATATTTTTGTGTTTACTTTCTCTTCACTTGCAAACTCACCTTCTGGCATTTAGGCCCATTATTGTAAACAAGAGCTGCTAAGGCTTGCAGAATTTCAACGTGCGTCCACGAGTTGCACTGCTTAAGAGCAGAGATGCAGTAGGCGAGAAGGAAATCCAGGTTCTGCTCATCAACCGTCACCTGTTGTGACAGAAAAGGGCTGGGGTCAAGAAAACAGCACCATGTACCCCCAGACACAGCGGTTACAGACTCCGCTGTTGAAGTTGCACAGCACCAGCCACACTTAAGAACGGGATAAATCAACACCAGTGTCCCACAGCCAAGAGGGCTTCCAACGGTCTATCACTCCCAACCCAGAGCTGGTTTTACATGAGGAACTGTGCTAGAGCCACAGATCAGAACCTCAGCTAAGAACAGATAAGCAATACAGTGAAAATCCAAGAAGCTCTGCGTGAAGGTCGGCTCCATAGCCCCACAAAAAGACAGGAGGCCTCCCTGGCTTTGTGGGGGACCAGGGAGCCTGCACAGAGGGAAAGGAAGGACAAGGCCAAGCTTTTTGTACCTGAAATCTGTTAAGTAAGTGATGAATAAGCTGACAAACTTTGCTGACAAGATGTTCCTGATCAAGGTGAACCAGCTGACAGGCTTGGACAAGCAGAACACAAACATCCTGGAAAATAAAGCCTCGGTTTATTATTTAGAGACTACAAAGCTAGGGTGGAAACCACATCGTCAGCTAAGACTTTGATGGCACAACCAGATCTGCATGTGGCTGCCACTAACATCAATACCCACGGATAACGTAACGAAACCAATGAAACTCCAGTGAGCTCCATCTCCCCACAGACCTTCACCCCGATGCAGGCATGTGCCAACACGGATTCAGACTGCAGGAGCGCTGCTCACACACCACTGAAACACTGGAGCAAAAGCAAAGCCAATTATAATGGCAAAAGAAAAATACAAAGTCAGATCAGGGAACAGAAGGGCGGGGGGGGAGCACTGTCCCCAAAAAATCAATTCATTCCAAAATGCAAAGTCTACTCTGGAAATAAAATGAAAAAAAATCGGTACTTCAGTGCTGTTTACAGCATGATAACAAAGTTTGGTGCGTTCCCAGCAAAGCAGTAGCAATGCCACATAACTACAGCGCTCAGCCATGAGGGGATTACTTTAAGACTTGAAAACTATTAATTGTTTGCACAGCAGACTACAAAAATTGCCGAGTCCCCCTGCCCGCTCGCTGCTGTCACCCACCACCTCCACCAGCACTCGCGGGCCACGCGTGCCGACCCCGGCGGGGTTGTGGCACAGGGCAGCAGAGCTCACCAGTCACCCAAAGCAGTGGGGAAGGGAGCCACGGGTGGGAGAAGGCAAGAGCGAACAGGGGTGCGGGGAGGAGAGGGG